AATCACTAAATATGGTTGTTCCTGCCTCAATATAATCTTCAATTGCTTGCAACGAAGTTCGAGCCGTTCTATCAGGTACCTATTATACAATAATTAAAAAACATAAAGAAACCTTACCGTTAAAATAAAACATTCATTTGTTTCACGGCAGATGCCGCCAAAAACCCACTGCTGTGGCAATACACGACCTGAATTATTTTTCCTTTTAGAAAATAGACTTTCGTCTATTTCTACTATCTTATTATCATTCCCTATCTTCTTCTGGTTTTCTAGCAGCAAGAGCTGCAACACAAGTCTCGCGTAGATACATATTCCAGTCGACCACAGTAGTTGTGATTAATTTCTAGTTGTTTTTTACAATATTTTACTGATGTGAGCTCTTCGGGCCAGCTATAGATAAAGCGAACAATTGTTAAAAATGGTAGTCGTGTATTGCTGAACCAGTTTCCACTTCGAAGACCTATTTGCTGCTTACATCTGTAACATTCCCAAACTGAACGTTGTTTGTGATACAATTTCATTTCATGACCATTACGGCATACTCTAGTTTTGTGTAGAAGATTACGATTCGTAAAAATTCGATGGAATCTTTTTCATTTGCTGGCACGTCCCAAATTTTCATTATAAAATCAAAAGCTAATAAAAAATGTTAAAAAAGTTAGACTGTTCTTTTCCTATCATATTCATATTTTATACACTACTTTTAACCCTGTTTGATTGCTTGACAAGGATTTAGGAAGGGAGAAAATAGTTGACCTTTATGTACAGACTGCTGATGGAATAAATTGTCCGCAAAAAAAAAGTCTGCAAAAACACGTAGGGATAACGGAAAAGTACCAGAGCTTGTTAAAAGTTTAATCACGGGAGGCTTCGATCCTGCGATCTCCTGGCAATTATTGCTAGGCGATTTCGCTAATTACGTACAGGTGCTCTGCCAACGAACCTACCGGAACGCTGCTCTCACCTTCTTTTTTAAGAGATCTTAAACCCCCGTCTAGTGACGGGGTTTAAAAATAATGACAACGCCAAAACGTCAAGGCGCACAGCTCTGATATTAGGGGATCTGTGGGGATAGTCTGAGATTTGTGGTATTAAGTGAAATTTAAAGTGAATCCGTAGCAAAGAAGACCACTGGAATTGAATGGATTAAGGGGAGTCAAAAGGCGAATTGATGGCATATTTGAAGATTAAAGGAGGAGGATGGGATATTTGAAAATTAAAGGAGGATTATGGGATATTTAAAGATTAAAGGATGAGAAGGAGGATGGCATATTTGAAGATTATAGGTTTTATATAGTGAAGGAGCTATTAAATCAATGTTTTGAATTTTAGAAGTCAAGACACAAGATTCTTACTAAAAGGCAGTTTTAGAGGTGTATATTTATCTCGGTCCTAGTCGAGGTTCTTGGCGAGGACCGAGACGATGTTCCGAGGCCCAAGTTCAGCATAATCAAGGTTGAGAGAACATCGAGTTTCACGGCCTCAGCGAGACCTCGACCTCATGCTACTCTATCTAAATCTTCTTTTTCAATCTTTTTACGATCTTGATTTAAAATTTAATTAAGGCAATTTGGCAAGAACAATTTAATAGTCTTAATCCAATTGGCTTACGAGAAAGTGATGAAATGAAATATTTTTTAAAATTCAAAAATTCTTCATCCGGTAACTATGATTGCAATGTTGTTACAATGGGTAAAATTTAACGATTAACGCATGATTCTCTATGCCTGGCGAAAACTAATTAAACTTTATTAAGGCCAAAGAGTAGAATCTTGTACTTATATACACCCGTGGAAAAAAATATGGAAGCGCTAGAAAAATTTTATTTAATTCTTAATTTTTCATTCAAAAAATACGTTCTATATAGCAATCGAAAGGTCTATTTGTATCTCAGTTGACATGTTTCTGCATTTTTCATGAAAATGAAAATTTGCCGAGATAATCCGGATCTACCGGATATACCAAATCCCATATCCTCGGAAAATTTTTCGGAAAAAATTTATCAAACCCATTTGATAAAGCATATTTTTCTGAGTAGCTTACAAAAAACCGCTTAGAAATATCTTTCTCCAGACCAGAGATATGATTTTTTGAAAATCGCATTTTTCCCTTAAAAATTGAATATTTTGCAAAAATTGACGAAAAATGTCATTTTCAAAAAATCATATCTCTGGATCGGAAAAAGATATTTCTAAGCGGTTTTGTATAAACCGATTTGGTATATCCGGTATGTAGATCCGGATTATCTCGGCAAATTTTCATTTTCATGAAAAATGCAGAAACATGTCAACTGAGATACGAATAGAGCTTTCGATTGCTTATAGAACGTATTTTTTGAATGAAAAATTAAGAATTAAATAAAATTTTTCTAGTGCTTCCAACTTTTTTCCACGGGTGTACATGAAGACAAAAAGTTACCTGAGTTGAAACACAAAATTTAGTTACATAGGAATGTTTATACATTTATTAAGTCCCGGATGATTTTAATTGGGTTACGATGGTTATTATTATTATTAAATGGTTATTATTATCCGCTCTCTAGTTATTATTATGATAAAAGCCAGTAAAACACCTTATAAACGCTACAAAAATTACTTTTGTCTAATACCGTTTGAGGTCAAGTTTCCATCGAGCTGGACATTTACATTGTTTAATTATAATAAGCAAATATTTATGCTTTTCCAAGAAGTGGTAATAAATTAATTGGATAATACTTTTTCCTCCTAGGGACTAAAATCCTCGTTCTATTATCCGTTTGTATTTAAATAGAAAGGATTCGAAATTATGACTTTCGTTGTTGGATTAATCTCCTCTTAGAATTTGTTAGTACACTGCTCCACAAAATTACATAGCTCGACAACTGAATTCTCAATGCTAAATCGGCCCAAACCATACAATTCGTACACTTGAATTAGAAATGAATATTTTATTAATTTTATCACAAGGTGTTGGACAGCATATAGGAACTGAATTGGAACTTAAAGGATATTATCCAAAGTGTAATTTTCTTGCATTAGATCCCGTTGCTGAAGTTAATGCAGACTTGGTTGAAAAACAACTTAACGGGACTTTTATAGAGAAAGTAATTACAGCTGAAGATAGCTATACTGCAAATAAAAAAGCAAACATATGGAATAGTAAAGGTCAGAATTTTTGCCACTTAATTAATTCAACACAACCTAGGGAAGGGCTGGATTGCGAAAAGTCTGTTCGAGGTTCTAAAATTTCGTTCGATTGGGGTTATAACCGAAAAAGTTCCGAATTTCGAGTTGTCGGGTCACCTTACATCTTCTGTCACTCCACATCTTATGATATCTCTCAAATTTCTCTGATATTTTCATTTATAACTCGTTATCCCTTGATATCTGCCTCCATATTCACTTTACTCCCTCCCATAAACTCATCATTCTTAATCCACCCAAATTTCTCGATATATCTAAGGACGGTGGGGTATGATTCCGTGCGCACGATTCCGTGCACACGGTTCTGTGCCAGTTATGTAGGGCACGTTTCCGTGCTCAATTACTTAAATATTTTTACTTCTTTAAATTTTTATAAAATTTTAAATATTTTCAAATCTATTGGTCCAAAAACTAGTTCAAACTCTTGTTGATGTTGTAAAGGAAGTTTAAAAAATTTATTAAATAAAATAATCAAAAAATGAACAGATTTGCGACTAAAAAGAAAATAAATAATTTCTAAGCAAAAATAAATCAATTATTGGTTCATTTCGTAGTTGCGAGAAATACCGGACAAAAAGTTGATAAAATCATTCGGTTCAAAATTAATTTGGCCATTTTGATCAGCAATAAGAGGAGCATAATCCATGACAAGATTGTAAATTCGCCTAACTGCATCTCTGTATTTCCTAGCCTTAAGTGGTGGATTCCTGCCAAGCGTAAATTGAGTGTAATCGGCATCAATATTCTTCTGCTCCCTTCTGAGAGTATCAATAAATCTAATAAAAAATATTCAAGAAGAGAATCGGTCACAAACCGCCAAAAGCTTGGATGTTCGCAACCAAATGCACGTTGCAATCTCCTATGTGCAGCTTCTGCAAAATTATTGGTTCTATCCCCACCATTAAGAGTTCTTGCATAAACATTCCAGATGGCCACAGCAAAGCGAGGTTCAGTTCTCGTGCGGTTGTAACGAACACGACCAGTATAATTGGATGTGAACCTTTTTAAATTATATTTGAAATTTAAAAAATAAAATAATAAAAAGATCAAATATAAAAAATAAAACCATTCAAAAATAGGTAAAACGTCAGGCTCATCGCCAAAGAAATCTTCCAGCGTGATTAAAGCAGATGTGAGATCGTTTGGGTGAACAAAAGCAAGTGAAGTGATGTGACGACAATTTTCCGCAAATAAGGCATCATTACTGTATCGCTAAAATTTAGAATTTTTCTTCATACTTAAAAAGCAAAATTTTTGTAAATAGTTGATAAAAATAGTTGATAAAAATAAAAAGTTGATAAAAACAATAAGTTGATAAAAATAGTTGATAAAATCAACCTTCCTTGATACTTAAAAAGTAAAAAAACCTGACTAAGTTGATTCTCCTGTATCTTTCTTTTAAAATTCTTTACCAAGTGGAAAAAACAGCCGTGGATTTCGCAATTTGGTAAGACGTTTTGTATAGCTTTATTACAAAATTAACTATGTTGATGTCCATTCTCGTCATAAACACCAGAATCGTCTAGGAGAAATTGTTCTTCTCTTCCTTCGGATCGGCTGTATGTTTGGTATTCTGGCGGAATTGCCAGCTGATCAAGACTGATTGGGTTGGCCAAAGGCGCCAGCGCCACACGTCGAGCACGTTTTATCATCTATTATAAAATACTTTTCTAAAATATATGAATGTTTAACCTCTTTTGTTGCTTGTTTTGTTGGCAATTGCGCTAACAGGTGTCGAGACATTTTCAAGCCCAGCTGCTCTTATTGTAGATGGTTGTTCTAACGTTTCAAGAGCCCGCTTTTTCATTTTGGTGACAGCTATTTGTGCTTGAACATAAAGGTTGAAAAAAATAAATTGATAACCTGAACACGAGCCGGTCCACTTTCTATACATCCATGTTGGCCAATTTCTTTTAGAACTTGATGATCCAAATCAGTGTGGATTCGTCCTTTACAATTAATTCCATGGCTTGCCTGAAACTCGCATCGCCAAAAAAGTTTGTCGCCGTCCTTATTTTCCCTTTCAAACACATACAAAAATCCGTTATGTGGAATTTTTTGCCTACTACGTTTAGTCAGAATTCGAGCCATTTTTAAAGAATTTTCAAGTAGATTAAACAGATCTGAAAATTAGATTTGAAATAACCTATAAACTTTTCAACCGCGAATTATTTTTATCAACTTTTCAACCATCGAATTATTTTTATCAACTTATTAACTATCGAATTCTTTTTATCAACTTTTCACCTATTTTTTATCAACTTTTCAAATATCAAACTATCGAATCAACCTATCAAATCTCACAAAAACATGCAAAAAAAGCTAAAACTTTCAAAGTTTACCGTCGGTTGGCTAAGTTGAGTTGTTTAAATATAAATTTTTTCTACCGTCGGTTGGCTAAGGAGCTGTTTAAATATAAATTTGAATAAAGATAAATAACTCTAAAACTTATTAAAATCAAAAAATGACAAAACAATTTCTAAAAATTACAGAGCATTCTGAAATCTAATATAGAATAATTGAGCACGGAAACGTGCCCTACATAACTGGCACGGAACCGTGTGCACGGAAACGTGTGCACGGAATCGTGCGCACGGAATCGTGTCTAACCGATCTAAGGATAACTATTTCGATCAAATCTCTCGATATTGACAATGTCATGCTTTAAAAAACATAATGCAGATAACAAATGGGTAAATATTTTATGGAAGGGGCATTTTAAAAGAAAGGATTTATTTTTCCGATTATCCTCTAGAGATGGAGCTAGCGTATTTTCTCTAAAATAGCCCCGGGGGTTATTTTTTTCGATCGACCTCTAGAGGGGGACTATTTTAGAGAAAATACGGTATTTTAGCGAGAGGTAATTTTATAGGGCGGGTTATTCTTGAGAAAATGGAGAATTTTAATTGTAAATCTTAAAGCCACTTAATCCCTCTAATCTTCGTCCTTAGATTTTCAACTTTCAAAAAAATTTTTTCAAACTCGAGTTTTTTAAGTTTTACATTAACAGGAAAACGTAAATTCAATGGCAATTTCGATGAACTCTCAATTGGTTTTTTTGATTTCTTTCAATTTTATACTGACAAATCAGTAATAGATTTACTTTTACTTGATGTTGAAGGAACAGAATTTGCTATTTTTAAGCTTCTTGCAGGTTTTTGATAATTTCAAAATCATGGAGAATTAACACAAACACACATGAAACTTATGTATCTATTTTTTAAGAACAATACGAACAACTCCCCGTAACACTTTGCCAAATGAACATAGAAGTCCATAATCAACCAGTTTATGGGAGCTTTTTCACACGTCATCGCTTCCTACGCAATTTCGATTGGTTCATGCGTCACGGCCGTTTTGCACTAATGAAAACAGACACGCTTAATGTAAAGGAAAAATCGGAAACTTATATATTTCATAGAATGTTTTTCGTTAATTTATTTGATACTGTTTGTTTAGAAAAATTTATATTTTGATTACAATATTTAAGAAATAAACATTCCATTATATTAATTTTTCTACTGTGACTTGGGTTAGCCTGAGCTATGAACAGGCAAGTTACCGCAGCCTAAAGTACCGCAGCCCAGGGCACAGCGAGCTCAAGGTACCGTACTCTTTATCCATTCACTGGAACTCAACTTTTTAGCACATTAAGCGAAAATTTTGAGAATTTTGGAAGGCCAAAGTTCCGAATTACTTCCATTTACAGCGCTGGTGGCAATTTATGAAATAATTAGAAACCTCGGTATTACTACCGAAATCTACTGTTTCTTTATTATTTTGGGACGCTTATATATGCGGCCCACAACTATAATAGGCGACTTTCATGGGACGCCTATTATAGGTGTGGGCCGCATATTATGTGATGGAATGCATATACTATTTTTAAGTCGCTTATCTTTGATGGAACGCTTAAAATTCCATGCGACGCATAAAAGCTCATTGGACGAATTTCCTAAAGTATAGCCGTAAATTTCTGTAAATTAATAATTATTTGTTCACACTTATTAGTAATTTTTTAATTGCAATAAAGTTTACTTAAGAAATAAATTATTATAATAAATATACCTATTTAGTTATGAAAATATTTCAATAATATCGATGAACTTGTTACAAGTTCATGCAGCGGACGGAATGCGGAAGGGCTATAAAAAGATAGAATTCTGCTGAAGGAGGAAGCGTAGAAGGATTATCTCTAAGGATGCGTTTACTTTTGTTGTCCCCCATATATTATACGGTATCATGACTTTTGAGCTGGGCGACTTATGCGCCGCGACATTTGCGCCGCCATTAGTAAAAAAATAAAATCGTAAATACAATCTGACCTGTACCCCTTGGTTTTAAAAAATGGTATCCAGGAACTGAAGGAAGTTCAGGAAGTACATTAGGTTCAGATAGCTGATGAATTAGGTCTGGGTCATAAAAGTAGGATGCATTACATTACATTCTCTCTCTTATATTAATTGGGTTGCGGATCCGGATATAAAAAGATTTCCAATTATCCTACAACCCCACTATAGTGACGTCTGGCTGTAGTTATTCATATATTTTTAATGATAGTGGCGGCGCAAAAGTCGCTCGGCGCATAAGTCGCGGCGCAAACGTCGCGGCGCAAATGTTCTCGGCGCAAAAGTCACGGAACCTATTATACAACTAATTCTTAATCAAGTTTTACAACATTTTAATCAATTTAGAAATTGAGTGGGGTAATCAATCAAATTAATTAAATAATTAATTTTGCATGAGTAATTAAAAAAGGAAATATATTCTTCTTGAAGGCCACTTTCTCTCTCTTATTTTTATTTAAATTTATTATCCAAATATTCCGATAATTAATTAAAATTAAATTTTAAATATGTTAGTACAGAGTTTAAATTATTTATTGTTAATTTTAATTTTTGAAACTTGTTCAACAATAAACGTCGAAATTATTCAAAAGCGGTAAAAGTTTTTTGATTGAGATTGGATGATAGGGCAAAGTTTTTATAACATGTATATCGTTTTAGAGCTTTGTATTTTTACTTTTTAATGGCTTTTAGATCAGATCAGTATCTTTACTAGAAGTAAAGTTATTAATTTTTAACCGAGTCCAGTTAGGCATCATTTGTTCGGGCTCTAGTCAGTATAGCAGGACAACCTTTATTATATAATTTTTAAGCTTATTATATCCGATCGTAATTATACCTTGAATAGAATGAAAAAAAAAGTTATGAAATTTAGAAAATATCAAAGTCAAAAAATCTCTCTCCATTAATTTTAAGTTTTCAACGAACTCTGGGTTGTTCAGAACAGGACCACCGAAGTTGTGATGATGTTTGCAAAGGGGATAGTTATTGGTATGGATTTTGTTCAGCATGGGATGGACGGGACCTAAAATGTAGTTGTAGTGGTTATAGATATCCTTTGGAAGGAAATGTTTGTGGGCCTTCGAGACAACAAAAATGTGTGGAGGAATGTAGAGGGAAGGTAGAAATTGAAGTCTTTTTTGGATTTAAAATTGTCTTATTTATTCCAAGTACAATCAGATCTTGCTACAAGATGCCTCCTTAACTTCCTCAATTTAACATAAGATTTTTTAAATTTGTTAGCCAGTGGAGCGGAGAGCTGCTTAAGCGATACCTCCTATTTCCGATACCTCTCATAATAAAACAAAATTTTTTTCAACTCACTGATATCCTTTTTTATGTTTAGACTGAATTTCCATTGACAAAAATGGAAAAAATAATTTTTTTTAAATTTAGGGTCAAGAATCTGGCGGTTACTGTGTTGTGTCACCCAGTACAGAAAATCGTAGAGGAGTGCCTAAATGCTCTTGTTTTGGAAAACCTAGATAATATTAATTTGTAAAATTTTTCTGTTAAAAATAACGTTAAGAATCTTATTGTTAGCATAAATGTTTGAAAGAGTGAGCATGTGCTCTACCGACTGAGCTATCGGGACTTAAGTGCATAATTTTATTAATTTTTTATTATTTTTTTTAATAATTTTATCATAAAACCATTCTTCACAAATTTCCTTCAACTTTCAAATAAAAATTCTAACCAATTTAAACAAACAAACAATTTAATATGTCAAAAACAATCTAAATTAGCTATATTTTTATTATTTTTATTTTTCTTCCGGAATTTAACCGGAAAGAAAATTTTAACTAATTTAAATGTGTTTATCTAGAGAGGGAATAATTTTTTTCCTTTTTTTTGTTTAATAGTACAAAGTAAAAAAAGTATTAATATATACTCTGTGTAATCCTCACTTTTGCCATTTCCCTTTTTTAATGGGACATCTCTTGAGACTTTTTTTTAACAATTTTTTAAATTTAAAAAAATATTATTATTAAAATTATTAAAATGAGTGGGTCTGTTGGGCGCCTTGAGATCTAGGCGCGCGCGTAAAATCTGGCACGTAGCTGAAACCTAAATTTTTGAAAAAATTTTTCAAAATTTGTTTTAAATTCCTCAAACAACTCTTCCATAAATTTCTGAATTTTTCATCTAATATTTTTTGAAATTATAAGCTAGAACTTAGAAAAATTACATATTTATTTTTTTAAATAATCAAATCTGTTGGTTATAATAACTGAAAGCCGACACCAAAAATTCTGAAAATTTTCATAAATTTATCGAAAAATTTTGAAATTTTTGGAGCACCTAGATAAACCCTTTTCGGGGTTGTTTTAGCAAAATTTTATATTTCTAGATGGTAGATTAACAATTTTATAAGCTCGCGCGTAACGACACTACGCCCTAAAATTTCTAAATTTCTGGTTTCTAATTTTGAACCATGTAGAGTTAAATTTTTCGAACCGGACCGACGTTCGAGTCTTTTTTTTCGAGCCTGATTTTTGTCGAACCGGGCCGTTCGAGTCTTTTTCTTGGCCAAAATTCGAGGCCCGGTTCTATCTTTCGAACCGAACAGAACCGGGCCCCCAACCCTTATCCTAAATATTTTTAATCTAAAATCGAAACTCAAAATTATTAAAACAATTATTTTAGACTCTAATATATGTATTTAATTTTAATTTTCTAAAATTTAATTAAATTTTAAATAAAAAAATTTTTTTGCCTCAAATAAAACTTTTTTTCCTTTCCTTTTGGTTTGAATATGTTGCCAAATAAAAAAATTTAATTTCCGTAAACCAAAATATTTAATTTTATAGCTAGTCAAAAAATGTTTTTTTTCTCCTCTTTTAACCGAAATCCTCAAAAAAATTTTGTTGAAAAATAAATTTAAGAAGGCTTTTTTATAATTTTTTATTAAATTTTTAATTAAATATAAGGTGGAATAACCTTAGTAACTAAGCGAAAAAATAAGTTTTTTTTAATTTCTTTATAGCTTATTCAATAGAGAATTAAATTAGCTACAAAATAGTGTAAAGTTGACAGTTTTATTTTAAAACAAATAAACAAAATAGAAGGGAAAATGGGGAGAAGGTATACCTCCATGTTCATGAACACACGTCGGTTTTTGCTTCATAATTTTAGAAAGAATAAACCTTTTACGACATTTTTTTATATAATTTGATAGAGAATTAAATTCTCTATCAGATAAGCTAAGATATAAATTTCACGATTTGAATCAAATTTATATTATTGATGAAAAACTAAGAAAATGTCCATTTTTTATACTACAACTAACTCTTATTTTCCTTTCTATTTTGCTCATATGTTTTTTTATATAAAATTATTAATTAAGGCTATTTTGTAGCTAATTTAATTCTACGTCGAATGATATAAAGCTTATTTTAAAAGGTTCATCCTTTCCTGAGTTATGAAGCAAAAACTGACATGAGTTTATACACAGCGTTGTACCTTCCCATACACTTTTTGTGGCATCTCCATTTTTAACAAAATTTCCTTTTTGTACTTTTAACTTTTTCCTACATCCCCCTACATCTCAAAAAAGGCATAGACCAAACCAAAGAGTAGTGACCTATTTCCTTTTCGTTTTACTTATCCAATTTCCCCTATCCTCAAACCCTCCCTAGGGACTTTCTAGCGCGTCAGATAAGCAGAAAAAAGTTACACAAGTGTTCTAGAAAAATGTCAAAGGGAATATAGACATCTTAGTAAAATTAATAAAAAAATTTTTAATAAAAAATCAAAAAAGAAATTTTTTATAAGACAAAATGTCAACTCTTACCCCATTGAATAAAGGCTTGAAACAACTTTTTTTTTCCTTTTTAAATATTTTTAATATTTTTTAACATCTCAAATGCCAGACTCATCACTTTATTCACAAAATTGCTTTTGAAAGCTAGTCCCTCCCTTTACATATTAACTTGCATACAAAGTAGAGGGCGTTAGAGGTTGAGGGCGTAAGTCAAGTTTTACATAAGGTTATTAAATTAAAAAACTTTTCCTTTTTTTCAAATTTTTTATAAAATGCCACACATTTATTTGCTTATTTTTAATATTTTGTTCCAATTATATACCTATTTTATTTTTTTAATTTATTTTTTTTAAATTATTTTTCAACGTAATACTTAAAATAGAGCAAAGATTGCCGTTAAAATTTTCCTCTAAATTTCCCTCTAATATCCTTCAAAATAAGGATGTAAATTAAATTTTGACGTTATTAGATAGAGGAGAATATAAGCTATTTTATAAGATTTTTAAAAAAATTATTTTTTTTGGAATTAATTTTTTTAACCCTTTCAACAACCATTTAACCCCTTAAGTATAAATCCTTGACATAGGAGCGTCAAAAATTTATAACTTTCTTTAGAATTGAGATAAAAATTTAATTTAAATACATTTAAATAAAGGAGAAGCTTAGCTACTATTTTATCTTTAAAACTATTTTTATATAAATCCAAAAAATTAAAATAATTATGACCAAAGCATGGTGTAATCTAATTAAAAATTTTAACTAAAAATTAAGGTTGTTGACGACCGGTTATTAACAGTTACTTCCGGTTTTAAGGTTTTGAATTTTAGGAAAATACCAGTTTATTTTTGAGGGAATTTATAATAAAATCACTCATTTTCACAAATTTCCGGTTTCGGTTTTTAAAACTTTAAAACTGTTTAATTTTTGGCAAAAAATTTCAAAAATTCCGGTTTTAAAGCCGGTCACCAACAACCCTACTTTTAATCCTTTCAACAACCATTTAACCCCTTTAAGTATAGCTCCTTAACATAGGAGCTTTAAAAATTTATAACATTCTTCAATATAGAGATAAAAATTTAATTTTAATACCTTTAAATAGAGGAGAATCTTAGCTACTTTATGATCTATTAAAATAATTTTTAACTTAAGATAAATCCAAAAAATTATGATAATTATGACCAAAAACTCGAGTAGCTTTAATTAAAAAAATTCGAACTAAAAATCTTCAAAAATTCACAACTTTTAATTGGATTGAGATAGAAAATATATTTTAACGTCATTAGATAGAGGAGATTCTTGGCTACAAAATGGCATATTAATTAGCCTATTATATTTATTTTTTGATTTTAATCTATTTTTAGAAAAATTAATTAATTGTTAAAAAAATTAACAATAATCCTCATTAAAAATTAATTAAATTTTTTGCAAAAATTCAAATCTTTTTTGTAGCTTTAAGATAAAAATTCAATTTTTATTTTATATCCAAGAATCAGCTCCTCTTTCTTTTAATATAAAATTCAAAATTGAAGATTTATTAAAAACATTTTTATGTTAATTCGCCTGCCATCAATTACCTTATTTTTCATTCTCATTGTCCTAGCTTATCTCATTAACCCAAATTTTTCTAGAAAAACGCCGTAACACGCCGAAAAACGTTTGGTTTAAGAGTCTAAATCATCTATGTATACTTCTAAAAAATGCTAGATGCTCAAGAACATAATATGTATACATATAAAGCTTGGTGTTCCAGATTTCGCCTTTCGTTATTTCCTTTAGATTTAAAACCAGTTTTGGCACGCTTTTTTAATTATTAAGCACATTTTTGAGATTTAAAAAATTAATTTTTTGTTAAATAAAAAAATAGAACAATAAGGGAGGAGAACTCAGGGGTTTACCTAAATTGTTTACACACCCCTTAATTTTTCTATATTTTTATTTGACGGTTTTTTAATCTCAACAATGTGCTTTATAATGCTTTAATTAAATTAAATAATTCCTCAAAAAATGCCAACTTTTTTGTTTGTTCAAAATATATCAATTTCTCCTTCCTTTCTTTCTAATAATAACCTCATAACATGTTTTGGACATTTAAATAAATAAATTCCCATTGGTTTCATATTCCTTTATTGCCTATATTTTTTGCCATTATTTTCTTATTATTAAGTGCATTTTATTTTTAATTTCCAAAAAATTATTTTTACCAAAAACCAAAAATATATAAAAATATGTACAAAAACAGTAAAACCTCATTTTTAGATACCCTTAAATTAAGTAAACCTTGATTTTTGATAAGTTTTTTAATTTCAATTGGCTACTGGATAGGGAGAGATACAGCCTTAACGAGATACCCTAAATTTAATATGGATACATTTCAGTATAAGAGACTAGGGCTGCCGTTTTCGAGGCCGACGTTCGAGTTATTTTTTCGGGCCTTATTTTTATCGGGCCGGCTCGACCGAGTCTTTTTAAATCTTTTTTTTTGAATCTTTTTCGGGCCAAAATTCGATGCCCGACTCGATCTTTCGGACCGGACCGGGCCGGCAAGCCTATAAGAGACCTTCTATTTAATATAGTCTTAGTTAAGAAATCATTTGTGTCGTTATAAGAAACTCTCTATTTAATAAACACATGATTATAAGGGCCAATTTTCCCTTCCAAAGTATATCTAAAGAGAGGTTAGATTGTAACTAATTTTATACTCTATTCAATTCTAAGAATATTTTCTTTCAGAAAATTTAATGATTTTTAGAAAATCAGTCCCTGTTATAGTAGAGAATAGTCCTAGAAAGAAAAATCAACATAAACAACCTAAAAATTTCAACAAAAACTCTGTCAGGCGGAGAGTAAGCAGTCGAAATAATTGTATGTTATTTAAATATTTAAAATCCCTTTAAGTTATCCCATTCTTTATTAGAAAGCCATTGACAGTCTTGTCGTTCTTACCAAAATTCTTATTCGTGCACGGTACGTGTGCGAGTGAATCATTACCCTTATATCTCGATTTTGTGATATAGCGGGGATATATGAGGATTACAGAGGATATTAGGGGGTTTGGAGAGACTAGAGAAATTATAGGGATTTGGAGGGAATAAGGGGGATCTGGGTCCGTGGTCGCTGTTTTAAATCTCTGTAAAAAATATTTAGTCAAGTTTTATTGAAAGAAAAATTTATTTTTGCATTTTATATTTAAAATTTAAATTGACATAAATTATAAATGAATGCATGACTAAAATTACGGGAATATTTAATTCGTTAATTTTTAATTTAATTTTGAAACTTTTCTTTACAAAAAATTTTTTCATATCAATCGCTCTCTTATCAATCCTCAGGTTTCTCGTTCAGATCAAAACGATAATTATTTTTATACAAATTTATTTGATTTATGCCATTTTCTGTGATGTTGTTTGACTCTTCTACCATAATTTGATTTAAATCATCCACATTCGCTTCTACATCGTTTTCATTACGTTCTTCCTCTCCTTGATTAACCTGATTTCCTTCTTCAGTATCTAAGCTCTCCTCGAAACCAATAGTTTCTTTTCCTTTATTCCTAAAATCATCAATTTGTGGATTAACAAATGAAATTCCTTCATTATTAGAAGATTCAAGGTTTCCTAATTTTGAACTTTCCTCAATTTCTTTTTCATTTTTCTTTTTATGATAGTATTTTCGGTTATTTTCTCTTACCTTTTCTTTATTAATTTCATAATATTTTTGCCTAAAAATTCGAATTTTTTCTTTATTATTATTTCTATACTTTTGCTGATATCCCATAAACTTCTTCCTATTATTTTGCCGATAAACTTTGAGATATTCTCTTCTATTCAACTTTTTTTCATTATTTCCAGTTGTGTCTTCTCCTGTATCTTTAGACGTTTCATTAGGATTTTGTATTTGAGGATTAACCGAAGATTCAGCCCCGTCAGTTGAATATTCATGTATATTCTTTGAGGCTTCCCCAACTTTATTTAACTTTTTTTGAACTTTATTATTTTTAACAGAATTAATTAAACTCCATAATATCGAATTGAAGATTAAAAAGATTAAAACACTATCAAGTTTCATCCTTTTTGATTTTAAAATTAAATTTAAAAAATTAAAATTTATGTATAGAGTAGTGAGAAATAATTTAATTTAATAATAATATTGCCATATTTATGAATTCATATAGATCAAGTCAATGAAGCTCTCAGACAAAATAAAGAAATCTAAAAGGACAGTTTCTCAACCTTTTTTTAATATTTTTTCAATAATAAAAGTGCAATTATTTATTGAAATAAAAGTGCATCCTTGTTTTTTAAATTTACGAAAATTAAAGAAAATTATTATATCGGAAATATAAACACTTGTTAAATATCTGGGGTGTGCCTTCTACTTCTGAAATCTGTTTCGGCATCCCCTGGCAAATATATTGTATAAATAAGCTCTTAAGTCTCAATCCTTTATATATCCCGGTTTGGATATGGAATAGCTGAGAGATGGAATTGCTGAGAGATTTCTCAGGACTGATAATATTTAATTTTTATTCTAAAATGCGATAGGAGGATTTAAAAATGATTTAAAATAAATCCTTATTTACTAAGAATTTAAAATTGATTTTGGTATCTTTCGATAAAGAATAGAAAGAGTTTTGCAAAAGTTTAGCCACCGGGCAGGATTCGAACCTGCGACCTCCCGCTTTCGCTCGCTATATGCAGGAGCTCTACCTCTGAGCTACCGGGGCATCGACTAATGCTTTCTCTTTTTCCTTTTTAGATCGTTTAACCCCCGCCTAAGCGTTTTAAATGCTGCTGGATGAATCATCCTTACAGAATTAAATTTTGTATAACTTGGAGTAAAAATTAAAAATTTCTTTATGGTGGGAAAACCTCGTTCCACCTCAATTGAGGGAAAATATTTAACATTTTTATTTTTTCATTTTAAAATTAGTTTTTAATTTATTAATATAGAAAATTAATTCTTTATTGAATAATACCAAGATCATAAAAATCGGTTCTTGCATTCAAACGTTATGCCGTTTTGACTATATTGTGTACCTGAAAGGGTAATACTAATGTCCAGCGCCTGACCGATTCCGGAAACCTAATTCTAAATTCATCTTACTCACCGGAAAGATGATTCTACCGGAAACTAGATATACGTACCCCTTCTCATTTCAAAATAATTTCTTCCCCTTCAATTTAAGCCTCTAACCATCACCAATCCTTCCATTCAACGCCTTCAGCCATGAGTACAACAACCTTAATAGATGAAGAACAACAACAACGTCAACAAGTCCGTTCTGCACTTTTACGCCACTGGACTTGGTTAGACCGTGCCAGACTGCATACTTTCCATTTTTGGCTATTTGTTTATTCCTTGGCACAAATTTTTTTATTTCATTATTTATGCCACCGTGTTTGGTCCTTTGTTTATGTTTTCTTTTGTGCGATATTCCCAGCTTTAGTTTTGGCTTCTATTGTGTTGATACGTTATGGACGGTTGGAATTTTCTAGGAAAAGACTACGGTGGTTCTCTTTGGTTGGTTTTTGAAGAAATTAAATTTTAGTAGCATTGTTGAATATCGAGAACAAAATTAAAGAACTCTTTTTGTTATTAAAGAACCCTATATCAGAGACATCTCAATATAAGCTTAGTTTATTTACAGTATATCCTTTAATAACTACTCGGGTAATTATTGTTTCGACCTTCCGCTGGAGGGTGTTACTAACTTTATTTGAAATAAATAACTAGACTTTTTATAATTTTAATGATTTAAAAATTAAAAATAAATAAATAATTTTTCTCAGATTTCGTCTGTCTCATTTCCAGTATTTTTATGGCTCATTCACTTGCCGTTAATTTCTGAATTCCGAGTTAAACAAGAAAGAATAGCTGAATTAGGTATGTTGTTGGAGCTCACCGTGGCACTTTCTAAAATTCATAATTCTGGATTTACTAAATATTTTGTAAAGATTTTGGTGTCTATTGATAGAGAATTAAATTGGTTGCATAAATTATTTAGAAGCACACTTTCATTATGAAAATTTAAAAATGTTCTGGTTAATAAAATCTAACATTTTTAGCTAAAATTAGCATTTTTGATGATTTTTCAGTCATAACTTTTTTTATTAATTAGCTATAATTTTAATTTCAATTTTATTTTATAGCAAATTTAATTCTCTATCGAAAGATAGTAAAATCTTTCCAAAAGGTTCAAGCTTTCTCAAGTTATGATTTTTTGAAATAGTCTGGTCAATGACCTCTGTAGGAGGGTTATTTAATTTATTTTAAAATTTTTCCAAAAAAATAAACTTTAAATAAAACTTGACCAATTTAAAAATAAAACTTAATTTTCAAGCTTCCTTATCATCTTCATTAGCAATATGTACACTCTACCAATTTTTTGTTTTGCCTCGCCACCGGCGTTTATTCACTTTTCTCTCCCTTGGATTTATTATTTGCAATACTTTAATTATTGGAATATTTTTATATATTTACAATGATCAACTAGCTTTCTCAGAATCCCCAATACTTGCAGTTATCCCCCTCTTTATTTATCAATTAATTGTTTTGATTGTGGGAATTATTTGTGATTCAAATTCTGCAAGTAGTAGACAAGCTATAGCACAAAAATTAACTGAAGCAATTCAAAGGAGGGATGAACTTGAACAACTTAAAAATAGACAGGTGGATGAAGGGAAGTCTGACATCCCTTTTAGATACCCCCAAAGAGTTTAAAAAATATTATCTTATAATGAGGTGTATACTAAATAGATGGTATCGGGACTTAGCCTCCCACATAGTGACCAACCAAATTAAAAAACATCCGAAATAGAGATTTATCTATTATTGGATGTTTCTACAAGTGAGTAAGGTCGGCGGATCCTGGAAAATTTAAGGATATCCGGATCCAATATCCGAACTGAAGATTTCCTGATATTCGGTCTCTTTTCGGATTCGGATACCCGGATCCGCCAAGTTACAAGTGAGGCTCCACTGCAGTCCGCCCTCACTGTAAGATAACCCCAATACTGAATACGTCTCCATTTAAGATATTATTTTTAAATTTAGTTGGTCGCTGTGTGGAGGATTTGCTTAAACTAAACCCCAAATTTAGGAAGTATCTCACTATAGGATTTATAATTTAAAACCCCAAGGTATATTTTATAGTAAGCTCAGACTGTTTATTGGAATAAAAATTAATTAAAATAAATTTTTAAACACAGGACCAATTATTATTAAGTGTAATTCCCCCTTATTTAACTGATAAAGTTAGCAAGTCAATTTTTGCTACTTCCTCAGCTGCTGATTTTAGCAAACAGGGAACTACACAAATGAAGTTATTTCATGAGTTACATGTCCAGGTAAAAGAAAATATTTTTAAAGAATCTACAAAATAAACGTGAATAAAGGTCTCATCAAGGGCCCACGAACATTTTCTATACCACAACTTTTTAAATTCAATCTTGATCTCAATAAGTATTATATTATTCGGAAGCTCTTTAAGTGTAGATTATTTTACCTAACAAGGCTGTCTGATCAGAGTCAAAAAAAGTTAGAGCTGGATAATGACAGAAAACCACGATTGGCGCACTCTTTTTGCTGCAACATTTTATTTAAGGATACATATGGACAGAAAAACCTTGTTAGTTAAAATAATCTCCATTTAATAAGCTTTCGTGTGATATAATATTTACCTATTTTAAAAGACTGAGAATAAAAAAGTTTCTCTGACTACTAACTCAAAAATAAACTTAAATGAAATTAAAAATTCCTCAGAACAGGAAATTATCCAAAAAAAATCTCTCAAAATACTCAAATACCAAAAATAATTTAATTAAAGGTTCACGACAATGTTTCCATTTTATTTGCTGATATTGTTAATTTTACTCAATTAGCTGCCCAACTTGTAGCTAAAGATTTAGTTAAAACTTTAAATGAACTTTACAGTAAATTCGATGCGGATGCCCAGGCAAATTTTGAAAGAAACTTAAATTAATTTTAAATTTTTGTTTAAAGAAATTAAGTTGTATGAGAATTAAATTTCTTGGTGATTGTTATTATTGTGTTAGCGGTATGCCTGTTAATAGGCCTAATCATGCGGATATGTGTGTTCTTATGGGTTGGAGATTTTTTCTTAAAATTATTTATAAATGCCAAAATTTCTGAAAATTTTCGAAAATTTCGAAAAATACAAAATTTTAGTTTTACTTCAAAAATTCAAATATTTATCCTTCAAACCGTCCACTTTTAATGCTCGAATAATTACCCTGGTCAATTATTGTTTCAACCTCTCATTGGAGGGGGTAATTATAAGAGCAGGTGCTAAATTTAGGGTATATCTCAATAAATCTGGGAGAAAATAAATTTATTTTTTATATTTATCAATAAACTGTTTCAATGATTAAAATTGACAATTATTTTTTAAATATACCTAAGATTTGTGTAAGAAAATGAGGTGGTAATTATTGAGGGTAATTATTTGAGAGAGAGTAATTAATCGAGCATTTACTCAATTTCAAGACTTCAGCCTTAAAATATTTGTAATTATTTAAGGCCTGGAGATGATAAAAACAATAAGACAAGTTAGATTAGCTACAGGAGTTAATGTGGATATGAGAATTGGAGTACATAGTGGCTCTGTTCTATGTGGAATTTTGGGTTTACGTAAATGGCAGTTTGACGTCTGGTCTGATGATGTTACTTTAGCTAATCAAATGGAGACAACTGGGAAACCTGGGTTTTTGATAAAAAAAATTTTTTTGAAAATTTTTTCGAAAAATTTAGAGCTTTACATATCAGCAACAAAACAAAAGACAGCCTTATAGACAAATATAATATACTTGAAGCGCCCCCTTTGGATGAACAAATATTTAAATGTTTGGTTAAAATTCTGATTTGTACATATAAATTTCTAATTTCAGCTAATAAACACAAAACTTATTTTATTTTGCCTGATAATTATTATAATGATTTTGAGAGGCCTTCAAATATTTGTATAAATAAGAGGCTAGTAAATTTTAATTTTTATGTAAAAAAATTCTGAAAAAAAATTTTTTTTAATAATTTTTAGCCCCTCAGAATGTAATTTATCTCAAATCCAAGCCAAAACTAATTTTGATGAAAATCACCTACTTCCAATACGTGATGATTTTACTAGACACCACAGAGCTATTTCAATGAAAGCTAAGGGTGTTAAAATGGCGGAATATTGGGGGGAACAGACAAGGGTACTTGGACCTTTGTCTACAACACCCAATGTTAAAAGAAAATTTAGAAATGAAATAAATGATAAAAATAAAGAAAATAAACAAAGTGGATATACAGGTGGATAAACAATTTTAAATAATTTAGTGGAAGCAAAACAATAATTTTTAAAAACAAATAAAAATCAGAAAAACATTGGATAAAAATCAGAATTAAATAAAAACATTTAATAGATAACAACAAAACAAACAACAAAGATTTTCAGAATAATAATAATAATGTTTTTTGTTCTGAAATAAAAGAAACAAATGCTAAAACGAGGGGTTCTGTTAAACTACAAACAACACAACAAACAAATAAAGGTAAATGTTTCAATGTTTTATAAGTTTTATAAAAAATCAGAATTAAATAAAAACATGTTTAAACCAGAATTAATAAATACACATAGTCCGAATAATCAGAAAAACAAAACAAAAACAAAACATTTTAATTAATAGAAAGAAAAATCAGAATTAATTAGAAACAATAAAATCAAAATTTAAAAACAGAAAATAAGACAAATATCTATAAATACTCAAATTGACTTCACATAAAATAAAATTTGGGGAGAAAATTTATGTTTATTTATTTTCTCTCTTACTCATCCTAAATTGCACCACATTGAATATTATTTTAGAATAATCACAGTTTATTTATAAGCAAAGAGAAATGGGTAGGAAAACGTGCGAGTTGACTTGCCGCCGTTTCCTGCTAGGAGCGGAGTAGCGGACGAGGTCGCGAACTTGACTGTAACTCCTGAACATGTTTATCTCACACTTCGGTGTCCTTTCCATAGTGGAAAGGTGAAGGGACTTAGTCAACTCAGAGGTAAACGGATAGGTCGCCTATTGGCGAGGTAATTACTTGTCTTTGTGCTTGACCTTATGTTCTCCCTAGCGGTAGTAAGGATTCGGATGGAGGGCGAGTCGAGAAAACTCGTGAAATTTTTTTTAATTTTTTATAAAAAATTAAGGAAATGAAAATATCGTTAATCCAAGCATTATTATTTCTGATGACGAAAATCCAAAATTAAATGGATTTTCAAACACACTAAATAACAACAACATGTTGCAATCAGAAAAACGTCGACGAAAAGATAGATTTGTTGATTATTCTGAAGTTAATAGAAATGGAGTGAGCATTACTTTAATAGAAAATAATTTGGGAAGTTTGCCTACAACAAGGTAGTGTATGTTTTAATAGAGCACAGCTTGATGTTCAGAATTAAATCTGAACATTTAAACATATTATTATAAATAATCAGAATGAAATTCGAACAATTTGAACAACAGGACCAATAAAAACATCAGAATTAAATCTGAACATGTTGAAAAAAATCAGAATTTAAGTCTAAATAAATAAGAACAAATGTTTTTATTTTCCCACAGACTAAACATTTTATTTCATTGTACAACCGGAAGTTGTGAACTTTCCCCTTCTCTTCTTTTGCCTTTTTTCAATCGAGAAGTGTCGCTTAAATCAGAATGCCGCCTTATTTTATTTCTTTCAATCCCTCTAGCTATAGCCAATTATTTAATTGTTTATCAGAATGTTCCGTTAGTTTATTTTGTTTTTAAAAAAATTCTGATTTGTAATAAAAACATCAGAATTATTAAAATTCTGATTAAAAAATATTAGATAAAGAAATTCTGATTGTTAATAAAAACATCAGAATTGTGAAAATTCTGATTTAAATAAACATTAGATAAACAAATTCTGATTTTTAAAAAAAATCAGAATTAAATCTGAACTTGTTAATAAATAAATCAGAATAAAAAGAAAATAAATTAAACCAGAATTTTTATTAAAAATATTCTGAAATATTTCTACTTTTATTGTTTCAGTCAAAAAGTCCAACCTGTTGTTTTTGGACAAATTCTTGTTTGTCTTGGTAAAGAAATTTTTTAAATTTGGATAATACATATTTCTAGGAATTTTATTATTTATTTGTGCTCTAGAATCACTTTGCAGAACAGCAAATTTATTATTAACAATTTCTGCATTTATTGTTTCAATGTTTTTACCGATAGGCCAACATGTTGCTTTTAAATTTAAAAATTGTATTTAGAAAATTTTTTTGTAGTTATGCCTTGTTTTATTAGCGGTTACATGGCATAGACTGCCTGTTTTCTCTATTCTTTGGCTTCCATGTTTGTTATGAATTATAAACATATTTTTTATTTATTAGATTAAGATAAACATTCAGAATTAGATTCGAACATATTCTGAATTTTCAGAATTAGATTCGAACATATTCTGAATTAAATAAAAAATTTAAACATAAACATTCAGAATTAATTTCGAACATTCTGAATTAAGTAAATTTAAACTTATTCTGGATGTTTAAATAAATGTTTTGTTTTTAAATAATTCTGATTTAATTAAACTATCAGAATTAAATATAAACATTAAGAATTTCTGAATGTTTTAACTCATTCTAAATTAAATTTGAACATACCCATTATTTTTATACTAAAAGTCACCCATTTAAGCATGTATTAGCCATATGTGCCTAGTTTTTGCTCTATACAGGTTAAAAAATTCTCTATAAAATTTATCAAAATTTTAATTTAATTTTAAAGGCTTCCTTATTCACTTAGATGTTTTTTGGCGTCTTTAGATTGTGGTTTCTTCCTTATTTTACTCGTATTTTTCTCAACCTCTGTTTCTAATGTATTGCAATCGGCACCTATTATTAGCTGTCAAATAACTATTTGGTAATAAAAATTCGGAAAAAATTTTTAATAATTTTTTCCATAGTTTTGTCAACATGATATCACTTTTACTCCTTTTAATATTTATAACCAGAATTGTTTGTTTTTTTAGTAATCAGAATTTAAAATTCTGATTTTTTAGACCGAATATGAACGTAAATCTGAAGCTTCGTGTAATGTTGCATTTAAAAATGAAGAAAGAGATGTTCAGCTTATGCAAGATATTAATAGAGTTTGTTTATAAAAACATTAGTGGAAAACAATTCTGATTTAATTCAAACATTTGTTTTACCAGAATTTAATTCAAACATTTGTTTTACCAGAATTTAATTCAAACATTTGTTTTACCAGAATTTAATTCAAACATTTGTTTTACCAGAATTTAATTCAAACATTTGTTTTACCAGAATTAAACAATCAGAATTTTATTCTTAATTAAAAATCAGAATTTAATTTAAACATCGGTAAAACAAAGATGTTGGTCTAAATAATAAATCAGAATTATTCCCATTACAACAAAGTTTATTCAAATGTTTATATTTTTAATGTTTTAGTTATTAATTGACAACATTCTCCCTCCTACTGTTGCTCACAAGTTTCTCTCACACGATCGAAACACTGATGTTTGTTAAAAACATTCAATTTTATTAAACATGTTTTTCTAGGAACTTTATGCCCGCGATCATGATAATGTTTGTGTTGTAAGTTTATTTTATATTTCAGAATTTTATTTAAACTTTAATTGTTCTAAACAATTTCAGAATTTTATTCGAACATTTCAGAATTTTATTCAAACATTTAATTGTTCTAAACAATTTCAGAATTTTAGTTGAACATTTCAGAATTTCAATTAAAAAATTTCAGAATTTTATTAAAACATTCTATTGCTTTTATTTAGATGTTTGCTTCAATTCCCAACTTTAAAGAGTATTGGAGTGAATGTGACCATACTAGAAAATTGGAGTGTCTCAGATTATTAAATGAAATTGTTTGTGAGTTTGATAAGGTGTTTATAGAATCCATCATATTATTAAGTTTAATTATTTTTAATTTTAAAGTTGTTGTCAAAGCCAAAGTTTAGCTGCATTGAGAAAATCAAAACTGTTGCAAGTACTTATATGGCTGGTAAATTCTTTAGAAAAAAATTTCTGAAAATTTTAAAAAATTGTTGAAATATTTTCATCGTTATTCTCATCGAAAAATAAAAATCCAAATTTCATTTTCAAAAAATATTTTTTAGCTGCAGGATTGACTGACTCTGACAATGCTGATAACAGTGTAAGACTATAAAATAGATAGATATAGATAGATCTTTTTTAATCATTATTTTTTAAATTAATTATAGCCTGAACGAAATGCTGTTGTGGTAAAATAGTTTTTAGTTTTAAATTTAAAATTATTAGATTGTCGAGTTTGCACAGGCAATGGCTTCTGTATTGGATCAACTAAACATCGACTCGTTTCAGAATTTTGAACTTCGTATAGGTGAGTAAATTCTGTTTTTAATTTCGGAATCAGAATGGTTGCTGAATAAATTCTGTTTCTGACCAAAATTCTGATTTTGTTCCCGAACAAAATTCTTTGTTTTTGAGCAAAATTCTGGTTTTGTTCCCGAACAAAATTCTTTGTTTTTGAGCAAAATTCTGGTTTTGTTCCCGAACAAAATTCTGATTTTGTTTCTGATTTATCCGAACAAATTCTGGTCCGGTTCTGATAAAAATTCTGCTTCCTGCTATTAAATTATAATATTCTGATTTCTCATATATTTAAGGTATAAATGTCGGCCCAGTTGTTGCTGGTGTTTTAGGGCAAAAACCTCAATATGATATTTGGGGTAATTCTGTTAATATTGCCAGTCGAGTAATTTAATTTTTAATTAATTAAATATTTTATTTTTAAAAAATAAAAAGATGGATAGTTCAGGAGTTATTGGTTATATTCAAGTAAATGAAGAAACTAAACAAATTTTATCAAAAAAGAAATCAGATTATCCGTGGATTCATAGAGGAGAAATTAATATAAAGGGAAAAGGGCCAATGATCACTTATTTACTCAAACTTTCTCGGAAAAACAGAATTAATTTTTATAAATTAATTTAAAATATTAATTATTTTCTATTAAATTTTGTAGTAATAAAAAATCAGAATTAAATCTGAACATTTAATAAACATCATAAGTTATCGTGGGTTGTTTTCCGAATGATTCTTTTATGACGTACTCAGGGTTGTCCCTTTTGCCTTATTTACAGGGCATTTGCCCTATTTTTGACCTTTTCGCACTATTTTTTCCCTATTTTCTCATCTGCCATATTTTTGCCCTATTTTGGTGATTTGGAAAGGGACACCCTGGACGTACTTGATTTTGGAACTTTGATTTTTGGATCCAATTTTCGATTTACTGATGCTTAAAACACCAGAAAAAATGAATTGGATCAATTTCCTATAAAGTTTCCACTGAACTTTATAGGAAATTGACCCCCCCCCCCCACCTTGCTAAAAAGAATAAAGAAGAGCCTTTCTTTCCTTTGAAAAATAATTAATATAAAGGACAATGCAGAATTATCAAAAATATTGCACAGATTAAACAAAAAACCCGAAGATACATTATAATTAGAGATCGGAATTTTGTTCCGTACCGTATTCCGTACCGTATAATACCGATCAACTTCAAAATTTAATCGGTCGGTATAACGTACCGTTTTACAGATAGGAATACCGAAAAATACGGCAGTAGTACGGTATGGCCCGATCTCTAACTATAATAATCAGTTTGAACGTCAACATTAATTACCATTTAATTCTAAGGGCCAATGATCACTTATTTAATTCAACTTTCTCGTAAAAACAGAATTTTTTATAAATTAATTTAAAAAATTAATTTTTATGTTTTCGTACTCTTGGACTTTATAATAAAAAATCAGAATTAAATCTGAACATTTAAAAATATCCATGAAATGTTTAAGTTGATAAACATTTTAGAAATAAAAATTAATATTAAAAACAATTAATCTGAAAAAGAGTTTTACTATAAATGTTTTGATGTTAATTCTGGACATGTTCAGATTTAATTCTGAATTTTTAATATGTTCTGAATATGTTCAGATTTAATTCTGAATTTTTAATTGTTTTAATTAAGAATTAAATACAAGCAAATGTAAATATAATAATTCTGAATAAAAAAACATGGAACATATTCTGAATTAAAATAAAGAAAAACAAATCAGAAATAAATTAAAACAAAATTACAACATCGTAATTGTTAAAATATTTACATAAATAGTCAAGTTAAATAACCTGAAAAATATTTTAAAAATATTAAAAAAAATTAGAACAACATATTACCTTTCCTTTTCACTGATTCTAAATTACACCTCATCTAATATTATTTTAAAATAATCACAATTTATATATAAATAAAAGGAAATATTTCGAACAGCATGCGAGTTTACTTGCCGCCGTCTCTCGCTAGAAAAGGAGGGACAGTCTTGTTAGCGCTGCAGGACAGAAACTCCCGAACACGTATGTTTGTTTGCTTCTATTGCAGAAGTCTAGCGTGGCCTCAGGCCCGGCAAATAGGCATACCTATGTTCCTAGCGGTGGATTCGGATGGAGGGCTATAGAGGGACTCGTGAATTTTTTCTATTAAAAAATATTTTAAATTTTTATTTTTTCTATTGAATTTTGTAAACAAAAATATCTTCATTTTGTTTCTAGTTTGTTTGAAATTATGAATAGGTAAATTATAAACATCAGAATAAATCCGAACTTAGATACTCAAAATTAAGTAAAAAAAAACTGGAAACAAAATCAGAAATAATAATTTTTAATAATAACTCCGCCACATAATTATATAATTTCAGAATTAAATCTGAACATTTGAAAATATCTTAATAAAAATTTTTTTGTTATTAATTTTTTTTAATTTTTAACATAATTCTTGAAAAATACCAACATCATAAAATTAGAGAAATTTTTTTAGCACACTAAATGATTTTTTAAATTATGCCTTTATGTGTTAAAATTGATAAATCCTTTCATATTCAAAAAAAAATTTAAAAATTTGGAACTAGAACTAGCTTGGAACTAGTTCCAGAACTGGAACTGGAACTAAGGAATTTCAAAAATGTTTTTCCGGAACTGGAACTACAAAAATTAAAAACCTGGTTCTGGAACTGGAACTAGTTCCAGAGAAATTTTGGAACTTTGACATCACTGATTTGCGGTAGTTAGTATGCGCTCTGGACATTTACCAAAAAATTTTTTGTTTGTTTGAAAAGAGAAAAGTTTATTTATTGTATTTGTGTTAAATTTATATAAAAAGAAAATATTTAGAAATAGAGTATTAAATTCTTATAATACGACCAATATTGACGAAACACGAAAGGAAAGAAACCGAAACATAAGTTATTCATTTGTACCAATAATAATTAATTACTAGGGCTCGGATTTATAGGCAAATGCAAATTTTCTGAAAGCTTGGAATGATGACTTTGATCTGCATATTCTTATGCCTTTATTGGCCTTTTTTATTGGCCAATTTTAGGCGCCTACCGTATTTACTCGATTAATTCCCCTGGGGAATTATTGTTGCAACCCATCCGTGGCATGGGGAATTGTTCGAGGGAGGGGAATATTCGAGGGAGGGGAATTAATCGAGTAAATACGGTATTTCACTGTTTTTACTTGCCTATAAATTCGAGCCTTATTAATTCCAAATTTTCAGAAATTAAATAAAATTTAAGAAAGAGAATAAGACAGACATTTAAATAAATTAATAGCAAAAATTATCAGTAATACTACAACTTCCTTCACAACATTCACCAATATCACAACTTTCATAAACTTTAGCACATTTTGTACATTTACCTCCCTTACATTTAGTACCATAACAACAAGCATTATCACTTTTACACCCCATTCCATCAGTATTACATTTATCTTTAGAACATCTATAAACGTTCTGGTTTTTGACAGTTATGATTCGGCAATATAAGCCGGGACAGCAAGGAATATTTTGTGTGTTGTCACAGGGAAAAGTCTCCCCTAATTTAATACAATCACTTTTTATTAATTTAATTATTAATAAAATTGTAAAAACAAAAATTATTAAAATATTGTTGAATGAAGACATTTTTATGTAAATTTTGTTGTAGAAAAAATTAATTTATCTTAATTTAGAAAATTTTTTTAATTTTATTTTAAAATAATTTTAGAGTAATGAAAATTTACTTGATGAAAAGTTTTTTTGGTTTTCTGAAAGTTTCTTAAGTTTTGTTTTTAGTAGCTCTATTTTATAATTTAAAATAGATTTAAATTGTAGTCCGATGCAAAGGAGAGGCTGCGGGGTGTCAGTGGGACTTCGGGATGAAATTTGTAGACAGATAGTAGATCATACTCTACTTTAGTTGTGATGGTGCAAATTTCACAACTAAAGTAGGAATAACCCTCCCAATCTCGAAAAATAACCGAAAAATAACCCTTTGAAATAACCCTCCCAATCTCCAAAATGGTGATAATTAAAATAAATAATTTTGAATCAGAACTTTAGAGATTTTTCATTTAATTAAATTATTTTTAATAAAAAAATTTTTCGATGAAATATTTAATTTTTACTCAAATAATTTTTTAAAATTTAAATAAAAAATTTCTACCAACAAATAAAAATTTGCTTAATTTTTTACCAAATGTTTAATTAGCTTAAATTATTTTAAATTATATTTTTAGATTAAAATTACATGTGATTGCCTCATGGCGCCTTGTACGCCTCATGTGAAGTAAAATTGAACGTGATATTTTGTTTATTTAAATCATCAAATTTGGATAGATTTTAAAATTTATTTTTAGTTTTTATTCCAACTAAATTTAAAAAATTAATTTGGAGAGAAAAAAAATATAAAAAATTAAAAAATAATAACGTGTCAATTTAAATAATACATAAATTGATTTAAACAATCTATCTTACAATTTACCTAGTTATCAATTTCTGGCCTAAATTCAATTTTTGAGATTGAGCTAAATATTGGCAATTTATATTTATGTTAATCGAAAGAGCTCGTCAAGCTGAGTCGAGTGACACCAGAATTAGCTTAATTTGATGATTTAAATAATCATTTTACAATAAAAACATCAGAATTAAATCTCAACATTTTAAATAAACTTTCTCACAACATTATTCTGATTTATTAATTATTGTTTCAGTTTTTCTGATTTTATCTTCAAGTTCGTATTAAATTCTGATATTTTATTTTCATGTTCGTATTAAATTCTGATTTTATCTTCAAGTTCGTATTAAATTCTGATATTTTATTTTCATGTTCGTATTAAATTCTGATTTTTTAATTTTAATAGGATTTTAAATGTTCAGATAAAATTCTGATTTATTTCCGTTTTGAATTGCTTACTATAAAAACAACAAACTTCTAAACATTTTCTTCCCAAACATTTCTCAAAACTTCAACTCTAGCTTTGTGCTTTCTCCACTTTTCTTCTACCTAATGGCTACAATTCTTCTTAATAATCGCTTCTTTGTTGCAATTGTTCTCCTGCTCATGGTTGTTGGTTCCGTGTTTGGACGTTCCGTCCCTCGTTTCCTTCCTTCTACTAAAGAACATACTACCACAACAAACACCACAACAACTACCACAACAGCCATTACTCCAACAGAAATTATTCCTGTCTTCGATCAAAACTTTTTCCAGCACTCTATTGGGGAATGGAAGGTTTGGAGTGTTGCTGCTGCTATGTACCTTGCTATGTGAGCTTGAATATTTTCTTTGGTTAAGATTTTTTAACGAATTTTAGGAACGCTCTAGTCTATGTTCTCACCTATTGCTGTTATCTGGAGAAGAAGTGTGCTGTTGCTACGGTAAAGATTTAAGGGTCAGACCATGATATAGGGTACACCCTTGGAATTGAAAGAGGTATCTGAGGGGTATCTTAAAGTGTGGTCAGACTTCCAAGAATTCTGATTTTCTTGCTAAAACCAAAATTCTGATTTTTCTTTAAGGTCTCCCCCAAATCAGCATCGGCATCTTCCTCTACCGTCGTCGAATTTAGCAACGTGGAGTACTCGGAAAGTGCAAAAACTGCAGGAGACCTTA